ATATCTTTTCATTTTATCTGCTACAATTTGCATTTTGTTCAACCTTTGCCTCTTTTTTTGGAAAAAAAAATAGTAATAGTAGAGGTCTTACTGTCTGAATACGCCTTGTTTAAATGGATTTAGTGAAATAGTTCTGTGCATTATTTAATTCGGCATAGAACTCAGTATCTTCTTAGTTTAGAGTGAAATATATCCTTTAATTGAACTTTTAGTTCTTACATTTCCAGAGAGACATTTGAGTGAATAGCTTCAGGACGCCCATTCCTTCTGCCTTTTAGCATGGTTATCTTGGTTCATAGCCCCTGATAGACTCATCCTCAAATAGTATGCACTTCCCCTCCTTCTTTCAATTCAGATATGCAATTCAAGTTGATAATGATCCACATGCCAGATTGTCTGTGGGAGGAATCTGTTCCAAACTGCCAAACTACAAAGAAATAAAAATGACAATAAAGCCCAAATCCACAAACAGTTATTATTCCAACAGTTCCAGCAAGCATTGTTATTCACCATTCAACAGAGAGGCTGCATCTGGAGGGCCTCAGGTTCCCTGCCCCCACTCTGATTTCCCTTCTTACAATTCTGGTCTTTCTATTATGGTCCTCAATGGGGCCATTGTTGTGTTCCCAGCGTTCAGAAATGAGGCAGGTAGCATCCAAAAAGGATGCTTTGATTCCTCAGAATGATGCCTCCCTGCAGCCTCAAAACAAAACAAAATCCACTTGATATCTTGGCGCTAAGCATTCAGGCAACTAGGCAGCACTTTCTGATCTGAAGAAAGCATTTCCAATTCATTCACCTTAGACAGATGCTCTAATTCAGAAGTAGAAAGGTGGTTGTTGATCAAGCCCAGAGGTAAGTGATGCTGTAAACCAGGAGAGTCCAACCTTGGCAACTTTAAGACTTATGGACTCGAAACTCCCAGAATTACCTAGCCATCATGGTTTGGCTGGGGAATTCTGGGAACTGAAGTCTGCAGGTCCTAAAGTTGCTAATGTTGGAAACCTCTGATGTAAACTGTAGCTTAGAAATTCTAAAGTATCCAGGTTTCCAGGCTTGTTTGCCTATAGCTTTCTTATTCTGAGGATTTATGATAAATGTTAGTAAATGTAATTGAATTTTACTATGATTTTTTATTTCTTTTAATGCAAGGCTGCTTTGAGGAATTGAAAAAAAAATCACAGAATTTTAAGAAACAAATGAAGTATGCTTCTTTTTCCTTTTGACATTCAGCAGGCTACTGTGCTAGAAAGACAGGTAAAGATGAGTAACATTAGTAGACTTAATGTCAAGGACAGAATAATTTCCATTATAGTACAGTCAGCATCTTCTCAGATGATTGACTAGCTGGATACATTATTCTTCATCAGAACTATGCTTCAAATTAAAAAATAGTACAGAGGAGAAGAAAGCAATGTTAACTCAATAAGATATTCGCTTTCTCTCTCTTTTTCTCTTATCCTTCCATTGTTTCCCCCATTTATTTCCTGCCATCATACTTTCCCTTTTTTATGTTGTTTAGATAGATGATAGATGATAGATAGATGATAGATAGATAGATAGATAGATAGATAGATAGATAGATAGATAGATAGATAACAGACAGACAGACAGACAGACAGACAGACAGACAGACAGACATGGATGCACTGCATTAATAGCAAATGCAAACATAGTGCAATCCTGATTTTTTTCAATTGCAGCTGGTAGGATAATATCTGTAATTCTGAGGACTGGAAACTGCTCTTTCTCTCTACTTCCTCCTCATAGTTCATTGGCATTTTATACAGTAAGTATAAGGGAAGGTAATGACCAAGTGCACACTTGATGCTAAGTCATGCCTCAATCTGTTTAGTTTTGCTTTATTGTGATGGGAAACCAGCCATTATTTTAGAGATTACAATTTGCTGGGGCACTTTGAGAAAGCCGGACTAGATGAATTGAGAATGGTCAGTTTCATGTGTGGTAAGTAATATGAATTTCTGTTGAATTTCAGTGGACCTGCTCTTGAATCTTTTGCAGGAGCACACACTCATTGGATCCGATAATTCCCAAGACATACAGCTCTGTGGATTGGGGATTCTTCCTGAACACTGTATAATAGATATCACTGGGGATGGACAAGTCATGTTGACGCCTCAGAAGAATACTAGGTAACCGAGTACTGTATTCTGTCTATAGAGGCAAGAATTTTGCTCTTATTTCAGGATTAAATGAAGCATGGAAGAAGTTCCACAGTTGAATTTTGGAACAGTTGTAGCTAAATGAGCCGTGGTGGCACAGTGGTTACAGTGCAGTACTGCAGACTACTTCTGCTGACTGCCTGCTGACTGCAATTTGGCAGTTCAAATCTCACCAGGCTCAAGGTTGACTCAGCCTTCCATCCTTCTGAGGTGGGTAAAATGAGGACCCAGATTGTTGAAGGCAATGTGCTGACTCTAAACTGCTTAGAGAGAGCTGTAAAGCAGTATATACCATATTTTTCGGAGTATAAGATGCATCCTTTTCCCTCAAAAAAGGAGGGAAAATCTGGGTGCGTCTTATACACTGAATACAGCATTTTTGGCCTACCAAAACCCCGCCTCCTTTTCAAAAATGGACATGCAGAGAGTTTGGGAGAATAGCGAAGTGCTCCTGAGCATTGGGGAAGGCAAAAACAAGCAAAAAACAGGCCATTTTTGCTCGTTTTTGCCCTCCCCCAGCCCTCAGGAGCACTGTAAGAGCCTTGCAAAGCTCTGCATGCCCCCCCCTTTTTTTTTTTGCAAAAATCGAGATGTGCAGAGGGTTTGGGAGGCCTGCAGAGTGCAAAAACTTTTTTTAAAAAAATTTACCTCTTCAAAATCATGATGCATCTTATACTCCAGTGCATCTTATACTCTGGTGTGTCTTATAGTCCGAAAAATACAGTAAGTCTAAATGGTATTTCTATTGCTAAATGAAAGGTCTCACATTTCCCCTTATTGCCTGTTTTTTTTCATTCCAATACTTTTTCCAGTAGAGTAAATACATGCACATACTTGGAATAAATAATTGTGCCAAAACTGTGGGCTTTCTTGGCTCAGAATGTCTTATGTGTTCAGTAAAGGGGGAGGGAGAACTCTGTGAACATCGCTGCCCCCTGCTGCATTGACCAGAAGCCCTGAAACAAGCAACATGCCTAGGACCGAGCTGCAGTTTTCGACTATGGAAAGCAAAGTTGCAAAGGAAGTTGCTCAAACCAGCTGTTGCTCCCTCTTCTAAATTTTCGTGCTCTGTTCCCTGGTGGCATGTATCTGGTGGGTGCAAAAGAGATTTGTTTGGGATTGTTTTTTAAACAGCAGATGGGATAGTTGTTATAACAGGAAGCGGAAAAAACTACGACCTCTTTCAAGCAGGAAGAAGATTCTTTCCAAAGACTTTCCTTCTCCAGTTGTAGGAGCCCTGATGTATCTTCCTTGTAAAAGAGGAAAAGGAAGTATTCGGATGTGTTGGGTTGTCTTCAGTTTATTTTGCCATGCAACGTCTCTGTTTTGCTGCTGTGGCTCAAAGGCGGGGGATCAACACAAGTTCTTCACATTATCGTTTTCTTAATCATTGCCATGTGGCATTAAGGGCAAGCATTAAATCCTCAATGTGGGAATGACTATATTTACTTTCTCTATCCCACTCCTCTCTCCAACACAGGACATTTGTGAATGGTACAGCTGTTGTAGGTCCCACGCAGCTACACCATGGTGACAGAATTTTGTGGGGAAACAATCACTTTTTCCGGTAAGCTGCTGATTCCTTTTATTTTCTTCTGTTAACTGGTACAGCTTTGAGAGAGAGGAGTTTGGAATGCCTTTGACACCATTTAATATCTGAAAAACTGGCTGCAGAGGCTCGACTCTGCAGGATGGATCTGCTGGTCTTGTTCTCTGCTAAAAGTCAAGATAGTTTAGCCTTCTTCAACTGGGCAACTGTCAGATATTTGGAAGTACAAGTTCCCAAATCCCTCCAACCAGCAAGATCAGTCGCTATGCTAACTGGCAATTTCAGGAATTGTAAACCCAGTTTTTTGAGGTCTTTGTTTCTTGGATATTATGGTCATAATTTTACAGCAAAATGTTAACTCTTGTACAATGGCAAAATTGCTGTAGTGTTGCTATACAACCTGGGACTCTTTGGGTCTTTGTTTCATAGATATTTCCTTAACTTCCACTCAGATGCCCCCTGCATACCCTCCCTGACCCTTGCTGTGCCTCCCTTGCACCCTTGCATAATCCTTCACAGTCCTGCATACCCCACCGAGCTGCGGAACCTTCCTCACCCACAAAGCACCTCTCACACACTTCCCTAATCTCTGTATTCTGTCCAGAGGGGGGTTCCTACCGGTTCAGCCGAGTAGGTAGTAACTTGGCCTGCTACACCCCTGAACCAGTTCTTTCGGTGGCACCATCTTGTTTTTTTACTTCTGTGCATGCACAGAAG